GTTTTCTATTTAGGGGAAAGCGTGGTGCCAATGTGCACCACCTTGCCCTCGGGGCTGCCGGGATATATGAGGACCTCTTTGGAGCCCTCCACTGGCTCGAAGGACCCGATTGACCTCTTGGGGTCAGGCACTTCTTCGACCTCCTTCCTGATGGCCACGAGCTCTCTAAAGGTGGCAATTGCCATGGCGTGATCGCAGCACTCGACCTCATACTCGTAGGCCGCTGAAAGGAGGTGTCGACGGTGATGACCCTGTCGGGGCCCGACATCTTCAGCTTGAGGTAGGTGTAGTTGGGGACGGCCATGAACTTCATGTAGCATGGTCGTCCCAGGATGGCGTGGTAAGTTCCATGGAACCCAACCACTTCGAAGGTGAGGGTCTCCGACCTGTAGTTGGATGGACCCCCGAAGGTGATGGGCAGATCGATCTGCCCAAGCGGCATGGCCTATTTTCTAGGCATGATACCATGGAAAGGCGCTCTGATTGGTCGGATACACGCTCGGTCGATGCCCATAGCATTGAGCGTCTCGGCGTACAAGATGTTGAGGCCACTGCCTCCATCCATCAGTACCTTGGTGAGCCGCTTCGTGCCGACGATCGGGTCAACCACGATCGGGTATCTCCCTGGTTGTGGGACGCTCTCCGAGTGGTCGGTCCGATCGAAGGTTATGGCGGACTCTGACCACCGGAGGAAGGTAGGCGTGGCTGGTTCGGTCATATAGACCTCGCAGTGTGTGACCTTCTGGCAGAGCTTGGAGTCATAGGCCGCTGACCCCCCGAAGATCATGAGGCAGCCATCCAGCATCGGAAAGCCACCGTCCTTCTCCTTGGCGTCGTTCGTGGTCGAGTCAGGGTCCTTCCCGTGCTCCCCTTTGTTGGAGCCTCCGGACAAGAACCGCTTCATGAGGCCATAGTCCTTGTACAGATGCTTGACGGGGAAGGCATGGTTCGGGCATGGCCCCTCAAGTAGTTTTTCGAAGTGGTTCGGAGTGCCCTCCATGGGATTCTGACCACCCCTATGGTCAGCAGCGGCCACGAGCAAGCCCTCGCGCCGTTGCTTGTTCTTCTTCTTGGTGGGACGATTGGAGGCACCTTCACTGATGTCCTTGTCCCGTCTCACCTTGCCCTTGAGGCGGTTGAAGATCGCTCCGACCGCTTCTTCGCCCGAGGCGTGACTGGTGGCAATGTCGAGGAGTTCCTTGGTGGTTCGCGGACCCTTGCGTCCTAGCTTGTGAACCAAGGACTCATAGGTGGTCCCAGACAAGAAAGCTCCTATAACATCGGTGTTGGCGATGTTAGGTAGCTTGTTGCATTGCCGGGAGAAGCGCCGGATGTACCCACGGAGGGTTTCTCCGGCCTTCTGTCGGCAGTTCTTGAGGTCCCATGGGTTCCTAGGGCTTTGTATGTGCCCAGAAAGTTTCCCACGAAGATCTCCTTTAGGTCCACCCAACTTTGGATTCTATTGGACGGAAGGTGTTTCAACCATATTCGTGCCGAATCGGCCAAGAACAATGGAAGGTTGCGGATAATAAAATTGTTATTATCCACACCACCGGCTTGGCAGGCAAGCCAATAATTCTCGAGCCATAGTCCAGGGTTTGTTTTCCCAGAGTACTTCGGTATGTTGGTTGGTGGTCGGTACCTTGGCGGGAAGGCAGCGTTGAAGATGTGTTAGCCGAAGGCCTGAGGCCCTGGCAGGCCGGGGCTCGGGCTTTGGTCCTCATCGTTGTCGTAGCGTCCACCATGATGAGGGTGATAGCCGCGGCTAGCTCCCTCCCTCGGGTTTTCGTACGTACGCCTGCGGGCGTCGAGGGTGTTGCGTGCGTCATGGTTGTGGCCGAGACGCTGATGCACTAGGACCACGGTGCGCTGCCTACCGCCTTGTGGCGACTGGTGGACCAACGCGTCCCTATTGGGGCGCTCTGAGGGCCTACGCTGGCTGGTGTCGAGCTTGCATCGCTGAGACAACAAGCTCTCGGCCTGCTGTGCCACCGCACGCTTGAGCAGCGTGTGAATCTCGTGGTGGGCCCAATGATCCTCGGGCGTCGCGGCTTCTGGAAGACCACGGAGCAAGGCCACCGCAGCGGCGATGTTCTGGCTTGCCCGGGCAAAGTGAGGGAGGGCTTCATCGTCTGTGATGATCCTCCGGTTCACGTTGCGGGCCATGGAGTGTGCGCGCCCACCGTCTCCGTGGTGCTTGATCTCCCGATCGAGCTCCACACGTTGCTGCTCGAGCTGAGTCACGCTTCCTCGAGCTCTTGGTGTCGAGCTTTCAGCTGCTCCACCCGCATACGAGGTGTTGCCGCTGTCTCCCCCTTAGCCTCGTCGTCGAGGTCGTTCGTCCGAGTAGCCTCTTCTTCGTGGATGCTTTCGACATGTCCCTCGGGGGTACCTGTCATGAAGCATTCACGAGAGGGGTGATGGCTCCCCCTGCTGGAGTCAAAGCTAGAGGGCGACTGCGGCTCCTCTGCGAGGAGGTCGTGGAAAGACTCCACGATGTATTCGATCACCCCCACGAACTCGTCATTCACGGGAGATGGGATCATGCGCTGCGCCACAAGATGGACAACGGTCTTTGTGGCGTTGCAGAGACTGAACGGGAGCACTGTCGGGGCGCCCGGATGAGGTATTCTAGGGAAAACGGCTCTCTCCCAGTAAGATGCGCCATGACATTGGTGAATGAGAAGGTGAGGTGGCGTATGTCCTCCTAGGACGGTTGGGGTCCTAGGAAGACACCGAGCTGACGCTCCAACCTTCCATAATCGAAGTTGAGGAGCTGGCTGCTTCCGGGGCGTGGGCCTCCGGCGCATGCAGCCGTAGCTCCTCGAGCATCTCGGTGATCGCGTCGAGGCCAGTGGAGTGGAAGGGTTGAACGATGATGGGCGCCCGTGCTAGCTCTTCCTCCACCGTGATGATGAAGTCTAGGTCCCCGAAGCGCACGTGTGCGCTCGGGACCCAGCTGATGTCGTGACTAGCCATCTGTGGCCTGATGTTAATGTCGGGATACGCAAAGCCCCCTACCTGGCGCGCCAACTGTCGGTGTTTCGAGTAAACACCAACGAGTAAATTTGTATTATTACGCGTCTGGCCCGGATGGTGTGCTAAAAAGACACAAGGTTTATACTGGTTCGTGCAGAATGTCCCTACGTCCAGTTCGTGGTTGCTGCTCGTGTTATTGGCACTGAAAAGTTCGTAGTAGGGGTTAGAAACGGGCGAGAGAGGGACATGTCCTAAGTCTCTGATGGAAAGGTCGAATGGGTGCTGAGAGCTCGGTCACTGCTCCGCTATGTGTTTGAGGTTCGATGCTAGTAGTTCTACTATGATGCGGTGTGATGTGGTGAACCGATGCCTTTAGAGGGGTGCCCTGCTTTCCCTTTTATAGGCCAAGGGAGAGCACGGGTTATAGATGGGAGAAAAAAGGAAAACGAGAGGCAAAAAAAGTCCTTCAGGGTCGTCGGGCCTTCCTTTTCCTCCTTGCGGGCCCCGCTGACATGGCAGGCGGTGATAGCAGGGACAGACCCACGCCAGGCGCATGTCCGCTGACCATGATAGGGCCACATCGGGCGCCTGCCCGCTGACGATGCCATGTCCTAGCATTGTCATCGGATTGTCACGTCCCATTCCACCCTAGCGGGCGGCTCGGCGAACCAGCGTGCAGATCAGCGGCCGTACAGGGAGTAGGCAGCACAGTGATTGCGCGTCCGTCACTGTGGACGATGCGAGTTCTCTGGAATGACATGTCGCGGAGATGGGTCGTGTTGAGATGTGACCGCTCCCTGCACGATGCTAGAAGTTTGACCTTGGGTCACACCTTCTGGACCATAGTGGTTGTCGTGAGCTTCCATAAAGATCCATGCCCGAAGGATCGGGCGAGGCGGAGCCAACCCTCGGACGTCGGGCAAGGCGGAGCCAGTCCTCAGACGTCGGACGAGGCGGAGCCAACCCTCGGACGTCGGGCGAGGCGAAGTTAGCCCTCAGACGTCGGGCGAGGCAGAGCCAACCCTCAGGGGTCAGACAAGGCGGAGCCAACCCTCAGGGGTCGGGCGAGGCGGAGCCCGCGGCCGCGGTGTCCACCGAGGTGGAGCCAACCCTCGTGGGTCAGACGAGGCAGAGCCCCCGGCCTCGGTGGCCGGACGAGGCGGAGCCCAGCAAGAGGTGTAGTCGCGCTCTTGATCGCACAGATGACTCATTGTTGATGGTCATTAGCTCCTCCTCTTAGGGTACCCTAGTATTGGTCCCCGACACCATGGTCGAGAGCATTTTGGCAACTGTTAAAGGTATACATCGTCTCATCTCCAATGGTTTGCACTTCTTGACCTAATCTCTTTTACCACCCCGCATTTAAGTTTTTGCATTGTATGCATGTATCATATTTCTATGCTCCTTCTCGGAGCCTAAGATGGCGTCATGCCGGGGATAGCCATTGAATCTATCCGGGTGCTTGCGACGCTTTTTTAAAACAAAAATGAAGTTTTACCAACCTAAAATTCTTGGTTTTTAAGAGAACGAAGTAGTCATTCCAAGAAAAAAAAATGATGGGCTCTCATTGAGTGCAGTGTCAATTTTGCCCGTCAACATGGTGTGTATATATGCAGTGTACGTTCATCACGGTTTCAAAATTTACTTTTGAGAAATTCACACTTTCAGAATATAGCAGTACATGTTTTTGTTCACACTTAACTGGTTTCATTCAAGCCAATATGTACATTACAATACACGTAAGGTCCAACTAATACCTCAGCGACGTTCTTATGGCTGAGAGTACGTAAAATATATAATGCTTGGGTCGTGATTTCGACCATCAGTCCATCACTATATAATCATCTACACACATCATAGTCATAGGATATATATAATCTAATAAGTAGTAGAAGCAGCCGTGCGCACATCGCTTGTCTTCGATAGATGTAACAGTATCATGCGTACTGTATGCTGCGATAGTTACGTTGGTGGACGCGATCGATCGGCCCGCACGCACGCCGCCGCTGGGCCGGCCTGGCTTAGACGGGGTAGGACGGCAGCTTGGCGAGTCCGCAGACGCCCTCCCCGCGGACGCCGCGGCGGATCCGGACGTAGCCGCCCTCCCCCCACGACGCGCCCCACGAGTTCTTCATCAGCCAGTACCTGCTGCCGTCGGCCGCCGTGCCGTACCCGACGGCGGTGATGGCGTGGTTGAGGTCGGTGCCGCACTCCCCGCCCAGCACGCCCCTGTCGTAGAACCGGAACGCGTAGTCCTCGCCGTTGATGGCCACGGACACGGGCTGGTTCGCCACGGCCGCCGCCAGCGCGGCCTCGTTGTTGCGCGGCACGTCCTCGTGGCCCCGGATGGAGGCCGCCCGCGCGGATGCGGCGGACGAGCGGCACGACCCGTCCTCGCCCTGGTACGGGTACCCGGACTCCGAGGCCAGCCCGCCGCGGCGCTGGATGAACTGGAACGCGTCGTCCATGAGGCCGCCCTCGCAGCCCTGGTCCTCGCCGTTGACGTCGCAGTCCACCAGCTCCTGCTCCGACAGCGACACCAGACGCCCCGTCCGGATCTTGTTCAGCCCTTCCACCGCCGCCACCGCCGAGAACGCCCAGCAGCAACCTGCGTGCACATGCAGCCTATGTTGGACGACCAAAAGTGCATGCATGTAGCTAGTAGACTCTGGTCTTCTACTATCAGTATAAGCTCCACTAGTCCAGTGTCCGTTCTGATATTTACCTTTCCGTTTCGAGTTTTGACCGCACGCGTGCGCGCGCTATATATGAAAAAGCTAGCTAGATGGAGACGTATCCACGCATGCACGGCACGAGTGCAAACATCTGCACTCCACTAGTATTTTTTACCAACTACGTACTTGTCAGAAGATTTTCATCAGCTAGTTTTATCCTAATAACGTTCATTTGTTTTTTCGTTTCAAATTAAATAGTGCTTGAGAATCAGTCACTAGTATTCAGTATGCATGCATCATGCATCTGCGCAGGTCAGGTGTTTGGTTCGTACCACACTCTCCCTGGTCCTTGACGCCGGTGACGGCGCCCATCGCCCGCCAGTCCACGCTCTGCGCCGCGTCCGCCAGGCTGAAGTTCTCGTACCTGAACCGGCCGCCGCCGCCGCTCCCCGCAGCCGCCGCCGCCGGGCGCGGCCGGAACCCGGTCCTGGCCGCCCGGAACTCCTCGTCGGTGAGGTCGGCGAACCTGTTGGTGGCCAGCCGGTGGCTGTGCTTCCCTGCAGCGTTAAACGAGTCAATGAACTCCGCGTTGGCGCGGAATATCTCCAGCCGCCGCGCCTTCTCCGCCTCGTCCTTGTACGTGCGCCCGTGCTCCGCCATCCACTTCTCGTGCCGCGACGCCATCGCAGCGGCGGCGGCAACCTCCTCCTCCCCGGCCAGCTCGCGAGCCGCGAGCGCACGAGGAGCGGCGGCGGTGCACACGCTGCCCACGACGAGAACGGTGAGGAGGAAACGTGACGCCGACATGTTTGCAGCAATTTTTTCCCCAAGTGGATGGTCAAGCAAGTGCGGCTGCTATGCACTACCCAGCAGCTTGGTGTGTGCTTACTGGCTAGTGTGCAAATGTGCAGTGCTAGCTTCTTTAGCTCATGTGCCCTAGCTAGCTGCTGATGCTTGGCCAAATCCTGCAATGCAGGCAGGGGTTTATATAGCAGTTCAGGGAGCTGGAAAGGTCCAGCGCAAAAAGGATATGTAGTTAGGCATGGTTAACTGTTACTCTATCATTAGTGCTAGCAGACGATTTAGCCTAACACAAATTCTATCCATGGAGGAATCATGACGACTGACTGACACGAAGAAAAGAGGCGTGAAGTAAGCTCCTCCTACTACATGACGACCATCGTCAATCACTCGTATTCTCTTTCACTCGTTCTCTTGAAAGGATCCACAATTCATGAGCATGTAAGGACACATAATCAATCTTGATGCAGCTAGAGGACATCAGTGCATTAATTAGAATAACGAACATGATGTTACCGGCCGTTTTATTTTCGACGAGTGAGACGGGCAAGAACAGGGAGTCCACACGAGTTTACAAATATGAGTCGCGCACTTGCTGCGGCTTGGGCTACCGGCCGTTGGTTCGTTGGGTTCCTGCTGGTGAGGGCTGCCTCTGCTGGTGGGAACTTGGAATTGGACTGGTGACGTGAGCCAGCGGCTCTCCTTGATGGAGCCGTGAGTGATAGATTCCTGGGTCAAGACGTCAAGAAATTTAAAGTGATCGATGTGGATTCCTTAGTTTTCCTACGGTGGTAGCCACGGAATCTCTTGGCTTACAGTACGTAGAGAGATCATTGGGTGTCTCTTATCCTTGGAGAGATTGGGGTCGGCCATATTTCGTGGATACAAATTAAAGTGCCTAGGTGTCGTTTGGGATTTAGTAATTTATATCCTTTTCTTTGAATTTATGCTGTTTTTCTAGCTTACAATGAGTTTACAAAAAAAAAATGAATAGCACTATACTGTGCAAAACGATTATCATGGGTGGTTTTAGAAATTCCTATTGCGCCATGTAAAAGATCTAGTCTTTGTAGTGTCATGCTCCCAGCCCTCATTGGAAATCGGTTTCCAAGCGCAGTTGTGTTAAGCCAACCGCCAAATCAATTTACAGGGGTGATTAGCTTTAGGCAGCTGCTCATACAAATGTAATTTCTAGAACTCCTGCGAATAAACTCTTGGGGACGACTTGTTTAAATGAACCATCCCTAGAAATACTTTTGAAGTTTCAAAATTCCCTGTTCTATTTGGATTTTGCATTCTCTCACTATGTTTTATGTATATGTTTATAGCTCAATCCACTGTTTTACCATTTCAAAATTCAAAGTCACGCAACTATAGATCAACTGCAGTAGGTTGAGTTATACATACAAGTATACAACTATAGAAAATTAAACACTAACTATTAATGCAAGAATCATTCCAGTCCATACTAGAAGCTTTGTCTTGATGGCTGGATGTACTATTCGAGCAAACGATTTCATTGAAGATCCCAATCGCTGCCATTTAGGCCATAAGTAGTGGTTGTGCCACTAGAGTTGCATGAACAGAGGAGGATGCTGTGGCCGTGTGGGTGGCGGAAGTGGCGGCGGTAGCGTTGAAAGGTAGCAAGAGTATACTCACTACTATATATAGGAAGCACTTTTAGAGAAGAATATTTTCCATTAATAAAGACAGGCACTCTAACCGCTTATATTAAGTGGTCTCTGTCCCGTCTCTGTAAATCAATTAACATAGACAATACTTTAAGAACCAAGCCCATCACTGCTCTTTTGTTAGTATATATATGATGCTATATTTTTATATCAACATTTTGTAATCTTATATTAAATGTTTTAGCTACTAAATGAACCCAAATGAAACAAGTTTTCAACTATAAAGTTTTAAATTTGGTCAAGCACTACAACTTTGGTATATAACATGTCTCCATCTAAGATTGTTAGAAAATTACAAAAAATAAATCTCAAAATATGTGAATTAAAATGAGATGTTTGCAACTCTAAACAACGTCAAATAAAAAATTTATCAACAATAAACTCGTAGATCAGGTCGGTCTCTACATCTTTGGTATTAACCATGTGAACATTCAAGACCGTTTGAAAATTCTAAATTTGATTTTCAAATCTACTAAGAACTTAAAACACATATTTTGGACTACAAATTCAAATTAAAAACTTTTCAACTATAGACTATATATGTCAACATCTTAGGTTGTTTGAAAATTTTGAATTTTAAATTTCAATGTCCGCGAACTTAAAACAACATTTTGGGACTCAAAACAATTTTAAATAAAAGCTTCTCAACTACAAATTTGTAGATCACATCGAGAGCTACAGTTTTAATATAAAGTTCATATTCATCCTATTTCATATGGAAAAGTTATGAATTTACTTTTTATGAAACTATTAATAAAGTTGTGTCGTTTAAGATGTTCGTCTCTATTTTGATTTCTAGAGACGGATACTTAGAATGTCGACAAAAGAAATGTTGAGACTTTCAAGACTTCAAAGTCACAAAATGTCACAGGAGTGCTAATGGAGTGGCTCATGCTTTAGGGCAATTTAGCATGAGAGTGTTTTCTTCTTGTTTTTATGCCTGAAGGTGTCCCAACCTGCGCATCGGCAGACTTGGACTCTGATTGTAATCATGCTCGTGGTTGAAATATAAGCTCTTTCTTGTATTCACAAAAAAAACAGTCATTTCCAGACTGTTAAATAGTCAATTAACAGAGCCGATCACCTTAGGATGCCCCGCTTCTAAAAATGATTAACAAAGGCGAGTGTTTGCTGGATGCTGCAAGACCAGCAATCACTAGATGTGCCTACCTCTGTTAATCAAAGATGTTTCTTCTAAAATCTTTTTTAGTAGTGTCTTGTAGCTTTGATACGTGTAGGAACCACTAGAAATACTGAAGGTGAATTAGCGTTGCAACAAGCACTACCACAAAAAAAGATTCTAAGAGACAAGTGTCTCGATTAACAGAGCCAGACAAAAAGACGGTCCCCAAAAATAACCCATGATTAACAAAGGCAGTAATACCATTTTTGGAGACAACTTGTCTTTGAAAATCATATTGACATAGGCGAATCTCCTAAGAGACCTGTCTCTAAAAACAGGCTCTATTTTCAGAGGTAGACCTCCTAAGAGGTCCGCCTCTATTGATATGGTCAAGGCCTAGCTAGGCCTTTAAAAATCGTGGCTCATTCCTCTCTACCAGCCCTATATATGCAATGCCTAAGGGTTTCGACCCCATCCACAGTTGTTCTGATCCCTTCTCCCCCTCTCCGAAATCCTCTCCAATCCTGGCCGCCGTCAACCCCATTTGTCGCCCGCGGAGCCTCGATTCTCTTCCTTCTCTTCCTGCACGGGAGCAGTGGCACCTACTGGATCAAGCAACTAAACATCATATCTGCTGGGACAAGCTAAGACAAGACAACCAACCAATACAAAGGCATGTTGCACATCTCTAGCATGGCTCCCATGGGCTTGCATGCCTAGAGCAAGCCAGGCTCTGTTGAGAAAGCAACCAAACACGCCCATAGTGTATATTAAGTGTATAAAAAATCTATATATCTAGATAAACCAAAACGTCTTATAATTTGGAACAGACCGAATACTTCTGTAGCTGAAATGAACAAGCCCTAAATTTCTAGATACATGGTTAACCTCCTTTAGATGCAAAGTGTTTACTTTTATGCAGCTGGAGAAATTGGATATGGATGCAACCGGCGCTGTATCGATCCTTGCATTGGTGTTGATAATATACATGTACACGGAGTGCGGTCGATCAAAGAACTAACTAACCTAGCTAGAAGTCAGGAGAGTACATGGACAAACACAGCAGCAGCTTAACATATCGCTAACAGATCCAACGCCTCAGGGACTACGTCACCCAGACTGCAGCAAATGGTTCCCATGCATGATTCCATCCAATGGGATTTCAGTTTTCTACAGCTGAGAGCTGATAGGATCCACGCACGTCGGTGTCGCGGTATCTCCGTTTGTATACGCAAGGCATGAGCATGACCAGCTCGATCGACGGGAGCTAATAATGCATTTTACAACTGAATCCGGGCGAGAATCGTCAACACAAATGGGGCCTCCCCGGTGTCCATGCATTACCCACACTCCAAGATGAGATTCCGGTTGGGCTCCTGTCACACTGCCTAGCTAGCTGCTGCGTGCCACTCGTTCACTCTTTCAAACAGTCCCCACGATACCGACCCAACTCAGAAGCGATGCACTCTCTCACCCGTATGTGCTTCCGTTTAAAATAAGAAATCCTACCTGATAGGTTTTCTCCTTCTGTTTCATGAAATCAGTCAATTATCAGTCCCAGTCTTATTATTCGAGATATACTTCCTATGCCAAAATAGTAAAATATATATACAAGATTCTAAACTCTTTCTAAGTTAAACAATCTTAATTTAACTAAATTATAACAAAACTAATAAAATTTACAAGATCAAATGAGTATCACTGATATATCATCTACAAGTAGGTAAGAGCTCGAATAGATTAGAACCTTTAATTTTGAAATAAGAGAAAAAAAATCCAAGATATCTCGCATATATGTCCTTTGTCCTCCATGCATGGTTTTGCCCACTGCGACGGTCATTCATTAACGTGTGATCCTCTCCCTTCTCATGTGAGCCATACTTAAATGTGTTCGCATATCGCAATATAATTTGAGCATGTTATTAAGTCAGTGCTAGCGCCCGGACGTCCGTATGGATGCTCGTGTCCGGACACCTGCGCCTGCACTCCATTTCTTTCATGCACCCCACGCGGGGACCGCGCCGTCCCGAAAGTCACAAGCATTGAGAAGAGGGGAGAGGGCGGCACACGCTTGCACCTCGGTTCGGATGCACAGCCGGCGCGAGGAGGAGGAGACACCGAGGCAAGGCGGCAAAAAGCAAGAAGGGAGATGCAACATCCGATCTACTTTTGAAACATCTAGATTCAACACT